TGCGTACGGATGACAGCTGCGTATGACTTAATTTATTTTCTGGTGCGTTCACTTCCAGAGACAGATGTAAGCTCTGTGCAACTGCCTCGAGGATGCTTGACCATTTTAACACAACGTGGTGTGATCATCCCCCTTGCACGGAGTGAGTTTTCTCGACCTCGCACAACATAATCTACTCGACCACCATTCATGGTTACCGCAAAAAAAAAAAAAGGCAAAACAAAAGCGGTAACCTGGTTTCTGAGCTCACGGAGTGATCGGCTTGTTTTACAAGATCGCTGCCAAGCGACGAAAACCCAACCCCGATGGCACACACCGGGGGGGTGGCTTGTTTTACAACGTCGTTGCCAAGCGACGAAAACCCAACCCCGATAGCAAACCATCGGGGGGGGGGGGGGGGGGGACTGAAAAAAGCAGGGGGGTTCCGCAAGGAGCATCTTTCGAGGAAATTGGTATCAAATTCGTGGCACGTGCCCTAAAGCTGTTCCAATGTTGTCCCGTTCGATAACATGGGGATCTCTGGTGCTATGAAGTGAACCTGGAGTACTCCATAAATGCGAGAAGAACCAGAAATAGCCAGAATTAGACATCAACGACGTTTAAGCATAGCACTAGGACCCAAACTACGCAGAGCACGGAGTCTAATGATCTACCTTTCGAGCAGGACTCCCAGCAGGGCGTTTTGTAGAGCTGGGTTCTTGCTTGGCAGGAGGAGCTCCCGCTGGACAGCCTCTCCGCCGCCGCTGCTGTCCTTCGCAGTAACGCGCAGCGGAAGGTCGGCCGCCGGTAAAGGCAACTTCACGGACGCCCTCACTTCTTGGGCGAATTCCCCAAGCCGTTCGTTCCAGAACATTATCGTGCACCTTTTGAGGAAGGGGAATAGCAACAGAGTGGAGACCAGGTTGTGGTGTCGTAAAGCGCTGTATCCATGTGCGCGGTCTTGTCAGGGTATAGCATGGCCTGGGCAGGGTGGACACCTTTTTGGGCAAATCTTTTTGAAATCTTCCTCGCCTTCCGAAGTGCAACAAAACATCAGATCACTCTGGTGGCTGAGTTGATAGTCGCCGTGGGTTACCGTCCGTGTCCATACATCACAGCGTACAAGCAATCGTATCGCACGATCGACAGAATAAGGTACCCCTCGATCGAGCAGGAGCTTATCGTGTGAAAAGAAGGCGCGCTGGCATCGCTCACGAAACATCAAATACTCCCCGATTTCTCCCGTACCTCTGGACGGTTTCGTGCCCATCGTAATGACAAAACCAGGAGTGTTCATTCGGCGGTAGGTAACCAAGAACGCCACTCTGTACCCGCCCCATCCCTTGTCGCCGCCAACTCAACCTCCCCTGCCGTCCCAGCCTATGCCACTGGCCACGCGAGTACCAGTCCGGCACACAGAGATATGCTCCTTGGTTCTATTAGTCTCTCTGTCTCGCTATTGGCCATCTTTCAAACGGTGCGCGATAAGACCTGCGCTAAGTCCTCGTCCTGCCCCGTCTCATTATCTCACTTATACTCTCCGGGCGAGAAGGGGAGCAGCATCAGAGACACGCTGGCCGTGGCTCCCGCCGAGATACTGACCGACTCCTGATCCGTGTAGAACGGGAACTTGAGCGCGGCCTCCACTTCATCTCTTACCTAGGATTCAGTTTTGTTTTCCCGCATACGAGCGGCACGAACAGTCAAAAAGTAGCATCGGGCAGAGGGGGGTAGGGGGGGGAGTTAACGCTACGGGTGAATACTGGTCGTGTTCGTCTGTTCGGTCGGCTGATCCGCTAGGCAAGAACTGAAAGTGAGGCGGAATACATTTCTTCCCCGGTGTTGGATCGTTTCAGCAATTGTGTGCTATCGCCGTTATGGTCGTGTTTGATTTCATGGAATGGCGGTGAGTTGTCGTCCTGGTAGGCCGAGTGTAGCGGAGACTCTTGAACCAATTTCATCTCATTTGGGAGGGGTTAGTTCGGCCTTTCTCTTTCGGGACATGTTTCTTCAAGACCCAAGGTACTGGTGATGCTGTCACAAAGAAAGGTCGGCGAGTCCTACGGAACAACATATTTTGTTCCAGCATCTGGCTAAAACGCATTTCCAGGAGTTCCAACTTCCTACCCTCTTGTCTTCCAATGCCCCCGCTGGAGTACTGGCACCGCCGCCGCCATCTTTCCCCTTCCTGGCACCGGCACCGCCTTCTCTCGACGTCTTCGGCGGTGCCGACACACCACTACCACCACCACCGCCAGCCGAAGTGACGCTCTTTGACGGGACCGAGGACAGCAGCACCGACGAAGAACGGCGACGGGCGGCGGCGACGGCGGCGGCGGAAGCCCTGCGGCCCAGGCCCGGCAGGGTAAGGCCCGCCACGGTGGGGTGCTCGGAAATCATGGACTGCTTCAGGGAGACCGTGAAACGGCCGTCGGAGGCGTTTCTGGCCGATGCCTCGAACGGATTTGAAACCTGCAGGGTTACCGTCTGGAGGAACGGCGGGGATGCGTGAGTAGGTGGTTGGGTACGTGTTTGCAAGTTTTCGTGGTTGCTTGACGTTGTGATTTGAGCCTAGACCCCTTGGTTTCGTACGGAACGCTATTTGCTCTCCTAGCAGAAACACGTCCAATTATGGGCGTTCAGTACGTGTTTGCCAGATTTCACGTCGAGAGTTGATGGCGGGGAGTGAGGGGTTGGGCTTTGCGAAAATTGTTTGGTCAGGGAAAGGGGTTCAGATGTTTTGAGTAGGCATGCGTGCCACGGATGTGGGGAGGGCGTTTGTCCGCCGGCAATTTTCAAGTGCACAGACCTGAGGTTCGTAGCAGGTACCCTCCACGTTTGACACGCTGATGGCTTTCACGCTCTCCACCTTAGACCTGGCGTGGAGAGATGACAGTCGAGTCAACAGAAGAGACGCGTAGGGAGGAGGGCGATACCGTTCTCAATGAACCAGATAGAGGCAGGATTGGTTAGAGGCCGGTTCCAGTTTGGCGGTTAACCCTGCCAGAATAACAATATTGTTAGGGTTTCGTTCTTTGGTGTTGGACGGCACCTGGATATTGCAACCGTGTCCACGAGCAGCAACGAAGAGTAACCACGCGCGAGAGAGACTTGCCTACACTCGCCCGCATGTAGATCGTGCAATATTGTTGTTACGAGTGACCTACCAATGCATATGGCTAACTTGACCTAGGGCTTTCGTGCCCGTTCTTCCTGCGATCGAACCAAGCGAATGTTAACCACACGCGCCAGCGTGTTTTTGAGTCAAACAAACTTGAAGCAGAAGCGGTGGCTACCAAATGCTCACGAGAACAACCCCTCCAGCTAAACAACCTCTGCGACCCCCCATGTACTTACGACGTTCTTCGACAACAGCAAATCTGTGATATACATATCACCCGTCCAGCTAGAATCGATCGCGGCATTCGGCACTGGTACGATCGATGTCCGCCGTCCCACAGACACAACACACAAGTACCGCCGGTACCGCAACATCAGCATAGAGGCACGACAGCCCTGCCTCCCTCACGTGATGTTAGAACGTTAACGAACCCACACAGATCCCATTGGAACCAATCCGTAGAATCGATCTTCGGAACAGACACACATTCCTCTTTTTTCAAGTTGTCCTGCTTTCTTAGACCAACCCCTTACTTGAGTGCGAACACCATGTTGGAAGCGGGCGCCATGCCCCCCTTGTTTCGCGCCGCCCAGAACGTCAGCCTGGCCTCCACGGGGGAGCTGAACCTAGGTAGCAGCTCCACAGTGAACTCGGCCTCCTTGCCTGGCTCCAGGTGAACCTGCGCTTGAAGTTATACATGGCCAGAGGGTTGCCGGGATTTGGGTGGGTGCGAGCTCGGTTCGAGCGCAGCCAAAAGCACGGATGTTTCCTTGTCCGCCATAATCAACGATGTTTTCATTCGATTCAGCCCTCCTATTGTTGGCGTGGTTTTAACGGAGAGTCAAGGAGCGGAGGGGGGCGCGTTGTCTCCGATCTCTCGTGGAATACGACTGAAGACACCACGTGCGGTGCCTCGTATCGTCACAGCTACCAAGGTGAAACAGAAAAAAAAATTCATCTCCAGCCAGGGTCATAGACCGAGGAAAGTGATTTTAGCGTAGCGTGGAGTCACCCCCCTCTTCACCTCTTTTCCGTTAGCACGGAAGTCCGTGGAGCCCTCCAGAGTCACGTCATACTTGATAGACTTGGACGAGGGGTTCTTGAGCTCGATACTCTTCGAAACCACGCTCCCGAGGTTCGCTCGGAACTCCACCTCCGTCCTCGGCACCAGCTGGGGCAGGGACTGTTTACACGTAGGAGTTGCACAAGACGTAGCTCTGAAGAGAGTCGGCAGAGATTTCAATTCAACAGAAAAAATATCAACTCTCTTCAGGCTTTGGAGTTGGTCTGATCTACATACTCCGCATGAATTGTTAAGGGCACGTCGCTTTTCACGCCCCAGGTATGTTTGCATCTGCTCGGAAAAGAGAGGATGGGATGTAAACTGGTTTCTCTCACACCTGGAAAAGGTGCAACGCCAATAGCACGCCATCGCGGTCGGATAGGTCCAAGATGTCCTCCACTCCTAGACCGTAGTCCACCTTGAGCTTGCCCATCGCCGTCAGTAGCTTGGATGCGTTCAGCTCGCGGTTGGACAGGTCGCTCAGTTCACCTTTTATTATTTTGTTGATCGGTTAGAAGTCTAGACAGAGAAGGGTCAGTTGACTCAAACAATCGCTGTTGTGGCCACCTTGTTTCCAACACTGTAAGAAAAACAGAACCTTTCTAGAACGTTTCTTTTACGTTAGTTGCATACTCTCAAAGAGACCAAAGCAGGGTCCGGGTATTGCTGTAAAAGTGCAGCCTCCGAAGAATCAAGAATGGGGTAATATTGATACATTTGGTCGCATATAAGAAGGAAATCTGCAACTCAACAGCCGGAAGTCATCGAGGGCAGATGCGGTGAGCGAGGGAGTGTCCCATAGGTGTCCAGCACGGTGAGGGAGCGTAAGCGACTGCGTCACATGGTCAACGTTGCGCTAAAAGCACGACATCGGCCTGCGATACTCAATTTCTTACCCGTGGAATGTACTGGGATGAAACCGTGGAGAGGCCCTCCCTTGACGGTAAAGTGCGGGACGTGGCTCGCAACCGCCTGGCACAGTATCGAGCCGTCTGCCAGATCGGCGGAGAAGGTCGACACGCGCTTGGGCATGCACGTCTGGCGTAACGTACAGCCGCCGTAAAAATAAAAGCAGTAAAAAACAGTTGGGACGAGAAGTCGACGCGCCAAGCCAGGGTGTTATGGGTCGTCGAGGGAGGGAAGGACATCATTCATTGCACCACGTCGTCAACGACACCATGCCACCGTCGTTCAGCCCAGCACTACAGTAGCTGGCAATCCTCAACGCCCTCAAACGCTCCGGAAGCGCTCACGCTGTTTGCGTGCCGTAGAGTCCAACATGTATCGACCTATCCTTTTCGCCTATCCTCTCCCATGACTTTCACGTGCCCTCCCCACCTCTCTTTTTCTCCCTGTCACACACGTGCTGGCCTACGGTATGTATCTGCTCGATTATCTACCATGTTGTGTCGACCGCTTTAGCGGTCGTCTTGCCCATCGCTTCGTCTGTGACTTACCAGGCGCTTCACATATCTTACCCTGTTTGCCTGCTCCAGGTGGTAAGACATCCACTTCAGCAGTACCCCTTCCCCCACGCTGAGCACGTTTGACCCCGACAGCTCCGGGTCCGTCTCCACCTTGCCGCCCCCACCTGCCCCTTTCCGACCCGCCGATTTTTTCGTCGGCAGGACTATGAACACCCCCGGGAGGGCAGAGAGGGCGCGCGGCGTAACTCTGGCTAGCATGAACGTGCGGATGCACTGGATTTTGTTGTTTTATGTTGTACGGCGTGAGGCGGTCAGGGTAAGGAGCGGCAGCGGAAGGAAGAGGTCAAGGCTAGGGCTAGGGACGACGGCGAGGTTAGGGTCAGTGCCAGAGTCAGATGATGGTTCGCCTGACAAGAGGAAGGTTTGCGGTCGGGGTAGGGTACAATCAACCTCACGTGCTCGGTGTCTCCTCTCTCACATGGTCTCTTGCAAACACTCCCTCTATCTCTGTCCCCCTCATCGTACCTGGTACATGACCATCGACCACGCCTCCCTCGAAATCTGAACCCACTCGTCGCCGTCGCTGTCCTCGTCGTCGTCGCTCTCCCTGTCATCGTTGCGGTTGTTGCTGCTCCTGCGTTCTGCGGTAGTGGTGGCCTTGGCGGGGGCAAGGAATCTCGGTGCGCCTCCGTGTGCGTGTGCTGCAGCGGAGGAAGCTCTCTCGCGGGCGTAGTCGGCGCGATCGAGCAGTTCCTGGTGAGATCGTGGTATATCGTGACGTTCTTTGTCACTGTTTTTCACCTTGATTCAGGGACATGCTTTGTTTCGTTCATGTTGGTTCCCGCATAACCATATCCTTCCCTAAAGTCGTTTATTTTCTTCTGTGTCTGGTTCCTTGGTGTTCATACTGTAGGAAATTTTGAGAGACACCGTTTGATTGTACCTCCTACGCTTCATTCTTGATGCCTTTCACCACAAATTCGTATGTTTTCGATGACACGGTAGACCAGTTCGGATCAATAGCTCTCTGTTCAAGCATCTACAAGCCGGGGTATTGGTTGGCCTTTCTACCGGCTATGCCAAGGCAGCCCAATGTTACTCAGTGTTTGGTGGGCGTCGAAGTAATCGATTGAGCAATTCTGACACCTTGCAGCCATATGACTTCCGAGGACAAGAGCCAAGATTATTCCGACCTCTGTTGGGAAAGCTTATCACGCTAATCGGGTGGGCGAAGGGGGACTCAGTCACGCAAGTACCCCGCCCCCGCCCCCCCTCCCCCCCCAAGCCCCACCGGTACCCACCTCCGGGCGCACAGAGTTCAGTAGGCACCCCTTCTCTCCCAGAAATCTCAGCATCTGCCGGTACTGGTCCATCAACGCCGCCACTCGATCGTCGGCCCTTCCAATGCCTCCTCCGCTGCCCCCGCCCCTACCGTCGCCGTTCTTGCCGCCCGAAGTGACGGGGCGCAGCCTGCGCCACACTTGCCCTGGCACCCGTTTCCCGCTCATGGTTTCGATGGCTTCTAGCGCGGGGCGGCCGTGGGCTTCGCAAATGCTTCTCGGGAACTCCTGAACGTCAGAAACGAGACACATGAGATGGGTTTCGACGGCCGGCGGGAGGTTGGGCTCTGGGTTGATCAGTGGGAGCAGGGACGGGGGGGGGGTGGACTAGTTGGGAAGGCGGTGGCGGTGGCGGCGGCGGCGGTCGTAGTTTATCGTGACGGGCACCTTTGCCCAGAGGATTTGATTTCGCCGAGGGTCCTCGAGACACAGGTACATGTTTACGCACTTTCCCATTTCACTTGTCGGGTCATGCCGTGTTTAAGTGGGTTCATGGTTACCAACTACATAGTTCTACCTCGATAAAGGTTGTGGCTACGTTGGCGTTGAGCCAGGCGCACAGCACCCGCGCCCCGGCCTCGTCAGCCCCCGCCCTGTAGCCCTCTTCCGACAGGTCAATTCCCGCGTCAACCCCGTCATCGCCTCCTCCTGCGCCGCCAGCACCTGTTGCGCCTCCCGCTCCGACGTTGCCGCCGTTGCCATCAGGGCGTTGGTCGACCTTATTGCCAGCTGTTACGGGAAGGGAGCCAGTGGATTGCCCAAGGGCGGATAGGTTGCTGCCTTGTTGCTGCGGATTGGCCGACGACGCGTTCTGCTTTGCCTGAACGACAGAGAAGGGGGAGGGAATTGGGCGGGGGTGGGTTGAGGAAGGCGGGGGCTGGTGGAAAAAACACCACCGACGCCCTCAATCTTTGTCGACCCTGCACAGGATACTCGCCCAATCACAGCAGGCGGCCTGCGCCTTCGTTGCTTGGTAAAACACTTGTCTAGGCTACGCCTTGACACCAATATTGCGTAAGAAGAGCCAGACAATAATAACAACTACCACCACCACACGACCAGCACAACCACCACCGTGACCATCACCGCCACCACCACCACCACCACCACGGCCACGGCCACAACGGCAACATCCACAGTACACCCAACCCGCACACACTTTCGCTCTGGCCCTCTTGGCCTGGCGCTCCTTGAAGTCTTTGGCTTCCTGGGCCTTGATCTGGGTCTCGGTCATGAACATCACCGCTTTGCCGTCCTTGGCCCAGAAGTTAAAACTGCCGTCATCAGGAAACATATGGATGGTACGGACAGAACAATAGGAGGGGGCAGAGGGAAGAGAGGGGGAGGGAGAGAGACGGGGGGCGAAAGAGACGGAGAAGGGGGACAGGCAGATTTATGCCCGGAGAGGCGGAGGGAAGGAGGCGGAGAACGCAGCAGAGACAAGGAGAAGCGGGCGGACGGAGGGAGAGAGGGGCATGGAGTGCATGTTGGGGGGAGCCATGCATCATGAGGAACCCAATGTGTTAGGGGCTTCACCTACCGTAATTCAAACGTCGTTGCGTCTGAGGGCCAAAGGAGAAAGAACGATGAACCCGACAATACAACGCTCATCTGAATATGGACACTATTATAGGTCATTCTTGCAGATCATTTTGTACTGGAATGTTCAGGAGACAATGTCTATCTAGACGGCACGGCTACGCTGCATATATTCGGCTTCCGCCTCCCGCGCGTTGGCGCCTTCATGAATGTTCGTGCGATATTCCCTGACACGAATATGTCTGGAGGAGGGGAGGTAAGGAACTAAGTCACTCAAGCGCACCTCTTAACCGTGCGGTGCAGAAGCATACCACGTCATTTCACCCCACCCCACGCCAGTATCCTAAGTTCATTGCGCTAGTGGTGGTGGTGGTGGTGGTAGTAGTGCTCGCTCAATGTTGTTGACACATGAAAACCTGATTGGCCTGGGTGACCCAGCTCCACTGTCTCCCCCCTCTCTTTATCCCTCCCTCACCCCTTTCCTTCCCTCCCTCCCGTTTCGCCACCCTCACCCTCTCTCTTACCGATGCCGGTACGCGTCGACGAAGGGAAAGTTCGTCAGCAGGCAGTTATCCGCGCAGCCCCTGATTGGCAAGGGGTAGTGCCCGCCGTCGGCATCAAAGACGTCCAACATGCAGCTGAAGCTCACGGGTTTCGTTGAGCGAAAGCTCAGCTCCACGGGGATCTGCTCTACTCCCGCACCGAGCTGTTGTGGTTGCACATGCGAAAGCGCATTCAACGGCGCGCGGGGAAGGGGTAGAAGTCGGGCAGTTCTGGGTTCTTGGCGTTGAAATCTAACATGAAAATTCGGCGGGTGCTGGCACAGTGTTGAACTTCCTCCTCACGCTGCTACAGTAGGCACAAAATCCTCCACCTTGTCCTTCACAAATGCACACGACCCCGAAACAACAACACCAGAGTAACGGCGAATACCGTAGCAAGAACAAACGTGCTTCACCTGACGCCCCTCGGGAAACGACACCGCGATATCCACCGGGCAGTGCTGCGGCAGCCGGTAAGACACCTCCATGTCGCTGAACCCATTGTTCTCGACCATAAACACCGCCCGGGACGTCACCGACAGCGGCACGACCGGGAGTTCCACCGGGGAGTGCGTAAACGTCAAGCACGGGAACACACCGAAAGCCTGGTCATAAGGGGTTAGGGAAGGCGTGAGGGGGGGGAGGACGAGTTGCGTCAGAGCGTTTTGTTGTCTACTACGTGTATCGAAGGCATTTCCGAACAGTCCATTCCTATCTTTAGATGCATTGCGTTATTGAACCAACAAGAACGATTGTTTCTTCAGTTTACCCATTCAGAAAATCCCATGTAAGAAAAGTATGACCTCCTATGCGGTACAGAACAATATCTACAGCCAAACCAAACATTCAATGGCATCCTCGTGGTGTGAAGAATTTCTCGAAGCCGTTGATCACACTACTTTTCAGAAGGCCGTTGGTATACTAAATTGGACCTCATTGTTGGCGAGAGAAAGCTAATTGCTGAACCATTTTCGTGGTAAACCTGAAGGATTGCACCGCGGAGGAGTTTATCCGTGTGACCCCGGATCGTAGCTCCTCGTTACAGAAGGTTAGTAGTAGGTTATGCAAGGATAGTAGATGTGTTTGCGTGTGTACCCGGCAGGATACAAGTCCCCGAGATCTCCGAGGGGGTTACGCAGATGAGATAGATATGGATATGATAGACAGACTTCGTGCAGCAGGCTTTGCCTCTTCTTGCTCACATCTGTTACTCTCTAATAATCAAGGAACTTGAGTCACTCCTTTGTGCAACACGCTCTCGACAAGAGCCCGCGAGCGTGATAACATAGTACACGCGCCGACACCCCAAACAAGATGGGCGATGAAAACGAAGTTCCCGATAAGTAAGCAGTTCCAAACGAGGCGCAGAGAATGCTGAGATTCCTCTTCCAAACATAGTTAGCGAACTGGGACCACACGGTTTTCTCGCAGACGTGACACGGTATTTGTCTATCGTGGTCGTCACCCTCGTCGTTTCGTCTCACACACAAACACACACACTGAATACGGACAATTTGGCCTTCCCTGTCGTTCAGTCTCCTCCTCGCCTCCCCTGTCGGGAGAGCTTGCTGACTAGAAATCTGTCGCCTTGTTTGTCCCGCTACAATGGATTGGCATATTTTCTGTTTTTATGGCTCACTCTTCCTTAGTCTGCTGGAATGTGTGGCCGATACCAGTCAACACACACGTATGATCTCTTCCGAAGAGAGTCCTTGCGACATAAGAGGTGATCACGTGTTTCGCCTCGGGCCTCTGCGACACGAACTGCCGCAGTCTTTCCCCGATCGTCTGATTGTGACATGTGGCGGAAGTTTTAAACTGAGCCGAAGGGCTTGCTCGGCGTGAAACATTTTACAAAGTGTTCGTGTTTTTTTCCCGCTACAGGACTGAAGTCTTCGTTGGTCACCCGGTTAGCGCGGTCGATGCAAATTACGAAAACACACATCCACACATCCACACACACACGCGCGCCAACCTGTCACCTTGACACACAGCGTGAGGTACGGCCGCGTCCCCCTCTCCGGTACCCTAGCCAGCCAGACCGGCAGGGTGAAGGTCAGCACCCCGGCCCTGTTCGGAGTGAAGGTCAACCGTACGCGGGACTCCTCCCCGGGGCTGAGCTGCCCGCTGGTGGGGCTCACGTACAGCACCGGTGTCACGGGGCCGGAACTGGCAGCCGCCGCGGCGTCGGCAGAAGGGGACGGGGGTGTGGAAACCCCGGTGTTGTTGTCGTTCTCGGCGACGCCTTCGGCCCTGGGTCCTGGCTCTTTGAGGTAGGCGTCGTCCATGACCCAGCACAGACCCTGAGCGTGTGTTAACGGGGTGGTTATAGGTCGGGGGTGGGTCTCGGTTTGGGCGAGAAAACTCTTCGCGAAAACCGGGGAAAAGTGAAAATCTGCCGCCGTGATGGGCTGAGGGTGCCTGCCTACGGGAAGGAGCGGCGCCGTTTTCCGGTGACGGAAGAGGCGTCGCCCGCCCCAACCCACCCTACCGTACTTCATCACGCCTATACCCTTACACCCCTACCAACAACAACAAAACAACGACGACGACGACGACGACAAGGATAACTCGCCTTGTCCGAGGCGTTCCTGAAGATGAACTCCCCCTGGTACTGCTTGAGGGCGCACGGGTCCCGGCTGACGACCTTGCGCCCGAAGTCCACCTCGGTGCTGACGAAAGTGAGGGTCGGCCTCAGTCCCACGGCGGAGACGGGGACGCGGAGATGTTTAGCCCCGTCGGATGAAACGCCTTCCAGCGACAAAGGAAACGAAAAGGCGTGGTCCCCAAACCGTAGGGGACGAAACACCAGGTTGAAGCTCAAGGTGTCGCCGGCGGCCACCTTTTCGGGCCGAGCAAAGATGGTCGGAGCAACACGGTAGGCGGGTTCGTAGGATGGATACACACACTCATGTGGGGGGAAAAAACGGTGGTACAGTTGTTTCTCTGCTGTTTCCTGGACCCCTCCTCTTCGAAACTGGTCTTTTGGGTCCATTGACATCGTGCTTCTTGCGAGACGGGCAAGGGGCTCGCTCGGTTGTGTGCAACCGGCACATGGTTTGGGGGTCCCAGAGAAGAAAAACGACCAGCAGCGCACACCTGTTGCACCTACGCTATCGTTGCTCTATCGCGCACGGCAGCTCACCAGTAGCTTCCACTGCCGAGGGAGGGCGTTCAAGCCTCCACGCATGCCAGCGGCTGGTGACTGGCCTGTGCTGTGCGAATCTCCGTCGAAAGTGTCGATGTCTTCGATTCCCGACACTTCCCTGAATCCGGGTGGAAGTGGTGGCGGTGGCCATTGAAGTTGAGGCCATGGGGGTGTGGTGAGGCACGCGGAGGATCAGAGAAGAGAGGAAGGTATGGCGGCCACTACAAGCAAGAGAGGGAGGTGTGAGCGACAAAGCAAGGCGAACGGCAGGAAGGGTGGTACAAAAGACGGCCAGATTTTGTTTTACCCGGTAGTGTAGTCTCTACGTATGGGCGAGCAAGACAACATGGAATGTTTGTTGCTTGTGCGCAGAGATGAAGAGCCCGCAACGATAACGCTCGCGGTGCAAAGGAGTGCGCGGGCCCGTAAAGTAGTTAACAACCTCCCGGCAAGAAAAATAACGTCACCTACACGATATGTGCGGCATCATGCCACACCGACCTGTTCACTGAAAGTGACCCAAGTCACCATGACAGACTCGACGGGATGCCCCTTCCCGCCCCGACGGAGCAACCCATGAATTTCACCGACCAACAACGAACCTTTCGTTGCTGCCATGACCCCCGCCCTGCTGAAGGTCGTCTGCACCCTCACCAACTTCGCTGGCGGGGGCGGTGGCACCCCCACGAGCCCCTCCCGCCACCTGATTGGGCAACACTTCCTTCTTCCTCTCCAAGTGGAATTCCTCATGCTGGGACAGGTCTAGCTGCAGGGAGGCCGGAATGGACCCTCGATTGACCAGGGTGACCTCGAGCGGCTCGCAACCCCCCGCCGTCAAACTCCCGAAATCGAAAGCGCCTTGGGACAGGAAAATTTCTGGAGTCCTCGCGTTTCCCACAAGAGGTATCTGGTGTTTGGTGAGTTGGGGCGGGGTGTGGTACGATGCGGCGGGGGCGGGACAGGGCCTTCTATGACTCTCAGCTCACAACAAGTTACCATTTTTATCGCATGATTAAAGAATGCGGCAAGATTTTGGGCGAAGCCACAACCGAACGCCCGGGAACGGAAGGTTCCCAGGGAAACACTTGGTCAAAATATGAAAAGGATGTTTCGTGCTTGCGGGGTGATGGGATTGGGTGGTCAAAAAAGCCGACGATGAGATTCCCGACCAACAAAGGGACGGCAAACTCCGATATCTGTTTCTTCGCCTCTCGAACGCCTATTACATGACGTGCTTGTTTCTAGATGTCGGCCGGCACAGCATCCAACACGCCGTGGTGATCAATCACTAAGACCACGAAACTCCTCGCAGAACACCTACGCTGGTGGAAGCGACGGAACGCTGAGCGACACGGCCCCCGTCCACACCTTAGCAGCCTTGCCCCCCCTGATGTCGGCCGAAAGGGTCACTCCGTCTAGGCGCAACTCTCTCGGCGCCCGTAGCACCACCGTCATCGCGCAAGATTGCTTCGGTTGGATCAGCCCGCGGGTAGGCTCTACGCCGATCCCGACCTATGACGCGTGGGGAGAGCGGCGTAATTCGTTGTTGCGAAAAGGGTTGTGGTGGTGGTGGTGGTGGTGGTGGTGGTGGTGGTGGTGGTGGTGGCGGCGGCGCTTCGAACTGGCATCAACTGACAACACTGCGAGTGTAAGTCCAAGCAGGGTTAACTCAACCCTTACCCTAACCACCAGCGAAAACTAGGTACCCGACGCACTCATGCCCTCACCAGCTTGAGCTCGGCGGTGCTGGCAAAAAACACCGCCGGAGATTTGCCAGTGTTCTGCAGCATAACCGTCCGCACTACCTCCACCCCGACAGAAGCGCGCCCGAAGTCGAGAACAGACATGCCCTTGTTGTCACCGGCGGCTGTGGCACTGGCGGTACCGGTGGTCGTAGCGGCATTTGAATTGCCGCCGCGCGCTGTCGTGCCCAATGGAACGAAGCGACATCGAGTCTCGGGCAGCTTTCCGGACACCTGTAGGCCTTTGTCCTGCCCCCCTTCCACCTGTTGTTGTTGTTGTTGTTGTCGTTGTTGATGTGGTGGTTGGTTTGTTGTTGCTGTTGCTGTTGGCTTTTTCGTCAGGTTAAAGTGCGTGTTGGTCGCCAGGATGTATTTCTGAACCGAGGGTTTCCAACTGCTTTGGTATTGTTCCGATTCAATAGCCACACGTGGAAGACCAGAAAACCGTACTCACCATGCACCATATGATGACGACTACCACTGGTTTCGAAAGCCTAGAATAATATGGTCTCTTGAAGAAACCCGAGCCATTCCGAGGTTTTTCAGGCGTCCCACTTCCACGCACCGTTTCCCGAGCAAAAAAAGAGTGACCGCAACAGGGATACAGGCATCCCCGTTGGCGCTTGTCATCCCATCTACAAACCGCCTCGGGCAGAGTTTTCCGACGTGACGGTCTAACTTCAGACCTCCGTTCCAGCGCCACACAGCAAAATTCATCTGTGAGGAGAAGTTCCTTCTTTAGTGGCAAGCCGAAAGTGATGCACATCGGTAGTATGTACCACCATTGTTCTCGTAAGGTGCTACCAACTAGTCACGAAGAAACAAATTAGACCATCACCTTGAGAACCAAGGTTTCCGAAGTTTTGCAGCCGGGCTGAGGGGTCCACACCACTTCGGCGTCTTGCGCTCCCTTGGGGTCGATGGTTCCCTTCTCCGGGGATACGTTGAACGCTCCCCGGGTTGTCCACGCGAAGGAGGCCGTCGCGTTTCCTTCGTTGGTCAGGGTGAGGGGATGCCGAAGGGTCGCCTCCAGGCTTTCCACTGGGAACTGCATGGTCACAGGGAGTGGGAGATTGTACACACCACGTGAGTGAAGTATGGCCTACCTATGCTTTTTAGATCAACACGTATACTCGTATTCCTAAGATCAGATGGTAGATCGGGGGGTGGGACTCACCGTGGCAGCATCAAGACGCAAGATGGAACGTTCCAGAGTGACACAACAACAACGACTTCAGTTTCCTGTCGTCAGCTTGACCCGGTGTCAATGCTCTCGCCGCATGGTATTTTGCGTGTGGTGGGTTGTGTTTTGTGCCGTCCTCATGGTAAAGGATGCAACAGTTCACCCGCCCCGAATGCCTTGACCTGCCTCGTCGGCAAAGCAAGCCTGCGAGGACCTCTGACCACGGCCATTCATGCTCGATAAACGAGTAGACGATTCCCTCCCCACGTCCTCACAAAAGGACACAATTTCTGCATTGTGTACCTTCATCTCCACTTCGTCTCTGTCAAGTTCGACACTAACTGGGACCGTGTGCGCGAGAAGATTGAACTGGTGCACCGCTCCATTGTTGATGCACATCTTGAGCGCCTTCCGGTACACCTACCGAAACGAGAGTGGTATTCCCGAAGCAGCACGACACCACACGAAACACAACAAGTTGTGGTGTGGTTTGGTTTCGGCATGCGCTGTTCGTTCACTGAGTAGAACAACAGGGTGTATGCATGCGTGCGGCCATTTTCTCATCCCTTTCCATTATTCACACGTACATAATGAAGCTGAGAAGGCTTGGATCCAGATTTGCATTCAAACAGGGAGCACTGGTAGAGAATGAAACCGAAACATCACGAGGAATTTGCCAAAGACAGTCAATATGTGGGCGGGGCGCAGGCGTGATACCAGAAACATACGCCGTGCCCCACGCATGAGATGTTCCATAGGTTTCTCTTCTCCCGGTACTTGAAAACATGCCCCTCTTAGACCACATCAAGAGAGTATGTGCTGTCACGAACAAATTGATCAGTTCTCCGGACAGTTGTTTCATGTTAGACTATGTACCTGCTCCGTGTAACACTTGAAGTGTACATCGAACCCCGCCGTCGCGCCCGCGGGCACCACCTGCGCCGGCGGCCCGGTCCCGGCTAACTCCGACTGGCCCTCGAGCCCGACGAGAGCGGCGAGGATAGCCTGTGGCAGGTTGTTGGTGACCGCGAGGTTGCGCACGTTGGATGAACCTACCGTCACCTGCCCGAAGTCTAGCGTCCGGAAATGAAGGTCCACCTGCGGGAAAAGGAGCGGGAAGGTGGGGGGTAAGTCGGCCATATTGGTCATGGCAAGATCGAGCATACCAGGAGAACCGTCCTGTCGCCTAACCAAGGCCCTAATTCAACTCTTCGAAATCCAGGATCGACCTCAAGACTACAGTGCAACAGCAGAGGCCAGGGGGGAGGGGGGGGGGGGGGTCCGACGGAGTTTCCTTCAGCTTTTAGCTATGGGCACGCTTCCGACCGATTAGGAAGGTAGGGGAAGGGAAGGTGCTACTTATTGAGGGGGAATAGATGGAGGTTCATAAATGGTGTCATTGTGAGCCGCTGTCCTCCTGAGGTTCAGAACTAACTTTTGCCAGCTGATCCCGTCCAAGAACGGCTGCGCAGTCCCTCATATCCGCCTGTGTGGCCGGCTTCTGTTTGAATTTCCTCGTGATGAGCTTGTTGATGTCCGCCTGGGGTCCACAATCACATTCAGGGTGTTGTCGTACTTAATGCAGGATGGATGTCAGCGATGAACCCATCCGAAGCAACAGTGCAAAGACCTATGCATATGACAAACGAACCCCCGTGCAAGCCTGTGCATATAGATAGGTAGGTCATGAGCGATGCATCCGCCGCCGCAGCAACGTAGTATAGACGAACCGCAAACAACCTAAAGGTTGTGCTTCAAAATCAACAGTGTACGTTTGTTTGTGACGTTCGTCATGCCTTCAGCCAGGTGTACGCCCGGTTGTCATGTGATGTTGGGGAGCGGTCTAATCAGCAACGAGCAACCGCTCAAGACACCTGCTTCTCCAAACGACCTTTACACGATAGAGATCTGCTTAGCTACAAAAGAACGGCCGGTGCCTTACCTTAACGTCTGCCGCGCCATCACCTTTCCCCTGCCCATCCAGTGGCACATGTAAAAACAACGGCTCGTTTTGGGCGGGGGGAAGCTTCGGGATCGGCTCCTCGCTCTTCATCCACCTTCAGTTTTTGGGTTCCCATCGTCGAGCAGATCAAAAGACGAGCAGTTTTAAGCAATAGGTCGCGCCTGGTGCTACACACACACCGAACGGTGGCCGCATACGTCTGCTGTATCTGGTACATTTTAGCCTAGAATTGGGTTGTTTGCTGCTACTAATAAACTATGGGTGCCCCCCCTCCCTGTTGAAACGCCGTTTAAGAAGTGAATATCTGGTCGACCAATCGTGGCTATTGCGTACCATGCGCCCCACGAACCATCAAGTCTCCCCCCGCCCTCTATTCTTCCGACTTCTCTCTCTGTTCCCCCCTCTCCCTGCCCTTTCTAGACGTGCGCCCAACCCCCCCTCCCGACTTCCTCTGCCGACTCTACCTTCGGTCTACCGAACAACCATACTATAAATCCCTCCTTGCCTGCCCATGCCCATCTCCACACCGTTCTCCGGATCCCTCCAGTCCTTGCCCTGCGCCTCCGCCATCCTGATGACCTCCCTCTCCTCCGCGATCTTCGCACGCTTCAATCGCTGGGCTGTGATCCACGCGTCCGAGTCTCGCCGCGATTGCTCGCGTCGTGCCAGATCCTGCATCACACCCACGAAGATACGATCGGGAACGGGGCGGGAGAGAACCAGGAGTTCGATTTTTCTTGCAAGGGGCGCTTCTGTGGGTGCCGGATGCAAACATGACCGTGCGTGTGTAGTATTCGAGAGGAGGAGCAGTTGTTGCGACACCGGGTTGTAGGACGGCAGGTATCCATCCGTTGGACCTGTTGCCTTGCTTGCGGGTCTGGTTTGGATAGCAAACTTTGCACCAGTGCCCAGGGCGTGGCAGTACAAATACAACAAGAGAGGGGCGGGAGACGTGCATAGCAGGTAGCGTGGGGAATAATGCCTCGGTTTTGGAGGAGTTTCGGAGCACCAAAGGGCGTTCGTGAAACAACGCAATGAGAGCCGTAGCGGGGGTGATAGATACATGTAGAGGACCAATGTTTGCTTGGTTGGCAATGCAAGGGCGAGAGCACGAATAGAGCAGAGCCTCGGATCTTTCTATTGTGGTCTCAATTGACTTGCCTGAAGCGAGTAGGTCAGCTTTTTGAATGCCTTGTCCACTCCGCCCACACTCCCAACCGTGTGCGTCGAGCAGTCCCAGCTGTTGCAAGTATTCCACGTTGGGTGTCGCACCCAGTACCACAATGGAGATGCATCGGTTCAGGGGCGTTAGTTGGAATCGTGTGAAAATATCCATCAGGGTCGACGAAGACACCACTGTAAAAAACACGAAATTCGCAACTCTCAAGCCCTCCCCCCCCCCGCCGCGGGCCACCCATCCCCCCCCCCCGGTTACAGACTTTCGGGGAAAGACACTCTAAAAACTCAAGCAAAACATCATCTGCGGCCTAGAAACGTGTTTAGTCGCCGGCCGCCACACACCTATTAGTTCCCAGCACGTTAACGGTTTCGAATGGTTTCGGCCGGAGCCACCCCCCCTTCCCCTCTGCCGCCCGACGGATCCCAGAAGCACTCTCGGACAAGACGAAGTTGAACCTGGGCTTAAAGTCCGCGGGGAGCTTGTCGATTCCTCCAGGTCTGGTTTATTTGCCGTTGTAGTTTTACATGTGGCCAAGAGGGGGGGGGTGAGATCTTCGGCAGAAATGCTTGGACGCGTATGTACAGGAGACGCGGGCGGCTGGCTGAGTCGGGGGCACAGGTGGCATGCTGTTGTAGGGTAGTTTTTTTCTCCACTCTGTGTGCTGGTTGGTCAGGCACTGGCTGTTGGCAGGGTAACAAATATGAGCGGGGGAAGCTCATTTGTTAATTTTGTGGTAGGCGGACATGCCGGGTGCTCTATCCGATCTGCCCACAGACACAAGAGGCTCTATCCGATCTGCCCACAGACACAAGAGGCTAGATGACACATGCGTGAGTAGAGCGAGTTGTATTATTGCAACGGTTTCATTGTCGACGGCAAGGTGATCGACCTAGTCGACACACAACAGACGCGACCGTACTACCAGCACCTGGGCTGCTTTGGGCCCACGGTGGATGCTTCTCCGACCACCCTAATGGGGACAACGAGTATGTCGCTCCCGAGGGAAAGCTTCAGGACGCCGCGAAAGTGTCCCAGTTGTGTCGGGCAGAACGTCAACACCTGATAAAAAAAGGAACAACGTACGAATGATTGGGTGAGACGAAGAGAACTGGGATATTTGTTGCCACAGATCCAGAGCAAAAAGTAAAACGCTACGCCCTTCGTGGGCGAAGAAGTTGGCCAAGGATCCGACCGACGACAAAATGACGGAAAAGAGCGATGGAGGCGTTTGTATAAGGGAAGGACTTTCAAAGGCGTTGGTGCGCAGAACGCACCGACGACAAACCGTTGCCGTGTCCAAAGAACGACACCTCGTTGCAACTCGCAGAGGCGTGAAGGGTAAGACTTGCAAATAAATCCCAAAATCAATCAGTTTCCACGCCGAACTACGGTTATATTGTACGCCACCAATGGGGGAACACCTAGGCGCGGAACCCCCTACAGGCATCGCATGCACTCTTCCTAGACGTATGACTCAAACACGTACATTGCAGGCGCGTATCCAGCGAAAGTGTAGCCATTTGCTCTTCATTGCTACCGCATTCCGTGCCCGACAAATGCAACAGCAAAAAAGCAAAGATGCCGGCATGTTTCTTTTAGCACACCCACTCACCACGTTCTGACTCTGCATGGGTTGCAGGAGCCCTTTGGACGGCGTGCACGAAAAATGTGGCACCTTCGAGATACTGAACCTGAGAGAGTCGTACCAGCCCCCCCCCCAGCCCGCCCGCCCGCGGTCAACCCGGCCCGGCCGGCATAGAACGAAACACGAGGAGAAGCCATATATTGAGAATGAAATAGAAATAAATGCTTAAGCTGGCGTTAGGGGTCAGGAGACTAACCACCCTTGAGCGTCCAGATACACTCTAGAGGAGTGAAGGCGCGAGAAAACCAGGCAAGCTGAGGACCTGCTGACCATGTCCAACCATCGTAAATTGTAGAGCATCCGTTCCATTGCGTGTAGTGTTTCTGGAGGCTTTGAGAGGGAGATGATGAAGTGATTGCCGCCGTTCAGTCTAAGGGGAGAAAATTGAGGCTACATATAGACAAAGCGGCGTGCATTGAAACAGTAACAATTGTCGGTGACTTTTTTCATGAGAGAATATACGTGAGGAAAATAGTACCTGATCTACTTTGTGTGTATTTCACCTATTTCCGTTTGAACAAACACAAATACAACTAGTCCTACCGTTCGAGTGTGGGAGAAATGTTGTGAGCATGTGTAGAGCATTCTAGACTACTTGCAGGAAGAGTTTCCAACAACACATACATATTCTTGCACACGTCGTAAGATTTTCATCCCGGATAGCCCACCTGATAGGCAATTCTCCGGTGTTGTTGATCCCCACCACCACGTCGCGCCTGTCGTAGCAAGGGCAAGCGCCGAACCTCACCACCCTCTGAGTCACCTTCACCGTGGGCAGCACACCCCTGCCCATGAGGGCAAGAGACACCGCGTCCCCCTTCTTCTCGGCGTTCTCGTACAGGAGTTTTCCTGGCGAGGCGTTGCGTGGCGTCCGAAAAAAGCTTAGCGTCAAGGTCATTTCCTTTCTTTCTCACGGACATCAACCGGCGTCGCGTCACGGTTATCTGTGGAGACCACGAGTAAGGCGATGGTTCTAGCCGACAGGCACGCCTCCATTACAGCCATGGAGATCCCTTGTCGAGAACGGCTGCACATATGACTATGGATCAGTGATCAAAGGCAGTTATTTTCTCTTTTCAACACCAATCGACGCCTGGACTGTGTGGCGTGGTGGCAAGCGACGCAAACGAGGGTGTAGAAGGGAAGGGTCTTAGTTTCATGAAAGAGAGAGAAAGAGAGAATGTATCAACCGCAAATAAAGGAATCGTGCTAGTCGAGATTAACCGGAAGGAGGAAAAAACTTGCGATCAAAGCAAGGAAAAAATAAACGATGAGCTGAGATCTCAGGCTGACCCTTGCGTCCTTCTCCTCCTCCCCCCCGCCCCTCTCACACACATGTACACTCGGACACAGCTCTGTCACTGACCTTTGAACACCGATGGGAGAGGCTCCTGCTCGCACCCTTCCCCCTTGAACCCGCTTAGTCGCGGCGGTAGGCTCGGCATAAAGCGAACCACCACCTTTTGCCGGCCGTACGGGGGTAGCGTCCCGTCGCGCGGCTCAACCTGGTGGGAACGAAGCAATAGCGAGCCGCAAACCGCATCGTGACAGTGAACGAGAGGCAGAAAAGCGCCGAAAATATTACGACCGGTGGTTGGTTTCGACTCATCATAGCTATGGGTGTATTGGTAGTGCGGTTGCTCGCGAACGGCCTCCAGCTCACGGAGAAGGTTTTGAACACGCCCATAGCGTATGTGGTCGTACACAAAGGTTCCTACCTTGGGTGCCAGGAGCTCAGTATAGAAAGAAAATAGTAATCTAGCCCAATGGCAATGTTGTAAACCTATTTAGTTCGTTGTGTTCCACACCAGCCGAGATCACCTTCAGGTTCCCGGTACTGCATTTGAAATCGCACGCCGTCAATAGCGCTTTGTGAGGATCCGTGGTTGGTTCGAGCCACAGGGGGCGGCAGCGCGACCCCAACACGCAGATGGAGCGAACACGACACACTCCGAGAGGTGTGCCTGTGAGACCCACTCTCGAACAACTTTCTCTTTGGCACCCCGTGTCCAGCATAGAGCTGCGCCTGTGGCACCTGCCTTCGAACAACTTTCCCTAGGGTACCCCTTTTACAACATGAACATACCAAACGTTTCCAGTATCAATCGTTTACCCCCTCTCTATCCTCTGAAAGCGCTCCTCTCGGTGGCCACTAACCTCGAACGGAAGCTTCTCTTTGCCGCCGCCACCGCCGTGCTCTCCCGCCCCTCCGCTCCCTCGGTGGCCGCCCTCCAGCTCCACGGTAACCATGAAGGGCGCGGCCTCCGGCCCGTCGTTAAACAGCACGGACGTTATCTCGCTCTGGCAGCCGTAGTGGAGCGTGCCAAACTCCGCCGAAGTTAGCTCCGACGCAGAAGGTCCGACTGCATTCGTTTGCGGATAATGAAGGGCGAGGTGCCGGAGGTGATGCCGGTGGTCACTCGCTAGGGACGAAGAGTACCGGCACAGCCGTACGGCGCTGTTCCGGTAAACACGTTAAGGACATACTTCCGCTTGGGCATGCTACTGCTGTGGGCTCGGGAGTTTACCCCGACCTTGACATCTTCGTCATATCTTCTGCCTGGGGTGAAATTTTGAAGCCTACCGCTTAAGGTAAGCCTCTTCTCCCTCCCATCTGTCCACACCCTGCCCTACTCTCTGTCTTGCTCTTATCCTTCTATTGTCCTAACACTAAGCCAATCCTCACCCTATGGCAAATCCTCCCCCAATCCCAACGTAGCCCCCCGTAATCCCGCAGAACCCTAAGCCCTCAACCTAGCGCTTTTGTCAACCCTGACCCTGGACCAACCCATGGGTCTGGCCTTATTTCTAAACCTAACTACAACCCAGGCATGTTCTCCCTTACGTTAAGACTGACAAAAACAACCCTCTTACGCCCGCCTGTTTCGTTCTCTCAGTTTTTCATACGTTCGCACTCCCCCTTCGGTACGCTGCCACGTTTCTTTCCCTCCCGCCCCATTGTCCTACGCCACACGTTCCGTTATAATTCCCACCCTTGGCCTACCCTGCCCTGCTCCACGACTTGACCTCACCTCCGTCCAAAAGCTTGAGTTTTTGGGTACAAACAACAGCGCTGAGGTCGATCACGCCGTCTTCCTGCCCCGGCACAACAACGGTTGCAAGAGCCCGAAACGGCTCCGTAATGCTCCACTTGGTAGCATCAAAGGCCACCTATGTTTACGGAGCGGCGGGAGGGGGAATTGAGCAGTGAAACCAATCTCATAAGCAGTCTATTCCGTTTGTTGTCACCATGGACGTGGATACACTTGGAGTTTACCACATCGACAAACCCTTGCATGGACCGAAGTGGTGGAAGGGAACCAAAAGGGTTCAGATTCTGATGTGAAGGACTTCGAACGACAGTGGGGGCAAAAGACCCTCATTTTCCCCGAGACATGAAGTACTTTGAAGTACAGTTGAAGCAGAACCGTCTGTGTTCAACTGTAACAGGAGGTAATTCGAACTGTACGATGGGGGGTGCAATGACTTGGATGAAACCGAAGGTATACCTAAATGCCGCATTAAACAGGGTCGTTAGGTTGTCATGTTCATGTGCAACTTGACTATCGATCTAGCTACGGGAAGGGTTTTGAAGAGTGCGCACAACCTACCAACGAACTCACGCTAACTTTAGCTCATCCCTCTTCCTTCCATGCCGCCGCAGCGCGGTTGGTACCGATACGGCTTGATCCGCGCAAATCACTCGTACCCTGTTGAAGATACAACCCGACTCTTCCATTCCGGTGCTCTTCATTAGGAGAGCGACTAAACATTCAGAACGCGTGAAAGTACGCGCACGCACAACATGGACCAACGGGTAGAATGCTTACCGAATGCCTTCATGTAGTGTTACCTCTAGGCGTGCGACGCTACCCTCCCGAGCCTGTCCGGGGGTCACCTCGCCTGAGCCGTCTTCCGCGTCGCGGTAGCCTCGCCCTTCGTCCAAAATTCCCTGGATGCCGTTCAATGGCGGAAAGTATGTTGCCGGAAAACAGATGGTAGCCTGGAGGCATTCGGTCTTGACGGAACCGGTTCCGGGGTTCAAGTGTCCGGGGGGTTCAAGTGTCCGGGGCAAAAGATAAAAGTTGGAATTGCCCCAACTCTCACCTAGCCGTCCCCAAACGCAAAATATTGTGTTACGTTTGTTGACCTACCCTATTTCACCTCGTCCTGTGGTTTGATACGCTACACTGCAACCCAATCCAGTGCTTAAGCAACCTTAGCCTACTGACCCGGGAACATATCCTTCGCCTTAGCTGTTGTGGCAGGCACTAACCTCCGAAGGGCTGAAGATAAGGGGCAACGTTTTGTCCCACGTAATGGAAAAGTTGGCCTTTCGGCTTCCCTTATTTATCAACGACACGGAACCGAACGCCTTTTTTTCGTCGCACACGGTGCCAAACTCCATCGTGCGGCTGTGGACCACGGCTGGAGTTGGCCGGCGGGCCAGCAACGGCACCTCAACCTGGTTGTTCGAAGGCATGTGTTAAGCACGTGGGAGTGCGAGAGTATGATTCAGGGCGGGTCTATGTTGAAGAGGTTGTCATTTTTGCGTTCCCGGTTCACGAATCAAACAGAGACATGAAATTGCGAACGTAAACTAAACGTAATAATCGAGTTGTTCGACTGGTATCACGATGACCATTTCGAATCCAAGACACTACGACGTAGAATTCCATGAAGTTCGCGTCTGTTGTCTGCTAAATAGCACTGCATTGACCGCTGTTGACGTCGTCGTACACTGCCATTTTGCTGTTTGCTCTGAGACGGCCAGTCCTAAGCAAACACTAGCTTCTTCTCTAAGCCCGAATTTCGTTATGTTTCTTGGTTCCATTGCTTCATTTCTCAATGTTGAGCTTCGTTCGGGGCTCTCTGAATATCACGGTCTGTCTGCTGCTGTAGCACAACCATTGTCATCGTACAAAGACTAGACTAAATTGAGGAGATCTTGCACATAGGCTTAGACTGCGCTGGCGACTACATGTTTAGTGAAAATGTAGCCGTGTGCCAACAAAAAAAAACAGGTTGGTATGGTCCGGCACTACTGTACGGCAGATATCGATCCTCCTCACCTTATCCTTTCCCGATATGATGACAAATGTGTCCACATACTCTCGCATTTCTCCCGGAGAAAATGGAACGTCGAGATCATCGACCTCATCGTCATCAGGCAGTTGAAACTCTACCTCGGCTCGAACATCAAGTCCCGGCGCGAGTCCGCCGACGGGCTCGTAGTTGAGGCTGAAAGCGGGTGTGCGCGGCGGGATGACGTGCAGACGGCGTGTCTCTCCGCACGTGTTTTGGACAGAGAAGGTGAGCACGAACAAAAGGCCTGCCCGAACGTCTTCGAACACAACCTGCTCATCATGTGGTGCCGCAGAAGAAGACACGAGGAAGAGCTCTGGTGGATAGGCGAGAGAACCCTCTCTCACACTTTCGATTGCAACTTCCTTGAGGTACCGAGAGTACAATGGTGCGTCCAACTGGTCTGCATGATCGCCATTCGAGTTGATGTCTTGCGTCTCCACAAGTGCTGCGGTGGGAATTCGGGACTACAGGAGCAAGGTACGCGGATCCAGCGACGACGTGTTCAACTCAGAAGGGAGCGGTAATTGAGCGACACGACGGCCAACCCCCCCTCCCATCTCCCTTGGTGGGTATCCAGCCTCTTGACACACACCTCTGGTGGGGTGACGGCGATGCCGCGGTTGGTCTGGGATAGTGCCATTGCAATGGGTATGCCGCTGTCGCCCAGTAGTGCCCCAGCCGACCCTTCGGCAGGGCCGGCGAGCCCCGACTCTAAATATTTGCGTATTTTCGAGGGATCGTCATGTTCACCAGCTAGGGAATTTCGCTGCTTAACATCTACCGTCATCGCCCTAAGCTCCCTGCGCCCTATCGTGGTATACCAGGCCACTGGCACGGAAAAGCCATTGGCGCATCGACGTAGATCGACGCATGAAGTCGGAAAAAAATTGAATCGATTCACCGTTTCTCTGTGAACCATAATTTTGTGATGGAAACCCGGGGACAAAGGTGTGCCCTCCCCCCCCGACAAGATCCGATGGACATTCCTCTCTAGGTTCGTGCTCGTCGTGCTGAGTGATGTCTCTTACGGCTGACTGTGTGTCAGCTGTGGGGAACTATGCATCTCCTTCTACAAAGCTCCGTCGGATGGAAAGAGAACTCGAGGCCCAGGTGAGCACCTCTAACTGTATATATACAGCCCAGCAGTTTGTTCAAGCTGGATCTACCGAAATATGCACCCCACTTCAATACTGCTGTAGATCAATACTGCTGTAGACTATGTGCAGCAGTACACTACAAGCAAAACCTGCCAAAATCATCGACCTGCTGCACAAGGGCAATACAAACTTCCGGTACCCTTCCGCTCGCTGTCGTGTGTGCCCTGGCTCCCCGTAAACGTCGATACATGCCACAGATGAAGGATTCTCTGGCAGAATCGCAAGCACTTCGAGAGAAGTTCCAGGACGATCTCGAGTGCATGCAACAAGATGCACAACGACGCCTTGTGGAAGAAAAGGTTGGTTTTTCGGCAAGGCTTTGTCATGTGTAGTACTGCAGTCTACCGTAGAACCTATACCTTATTATTACAAGTATCACAACGAATTAATGACTTTTTTTCTGCCCTCTTTGCGTTTTTCTCCCTACAATCGGTGCGGCTTTACCCACCGGACGTACCTATTGCACTCCCCTTCGACCGGTACAGGATGGGGACCCAAGAGGTGCCAAACTGTTGGCAAGAATTTTGATATGCATGTCTACAGATTACCTCAAGGGCCCCACATTTCCCTTCCCGCTCTGAAAACGTTGAACCCACTGAATCGCACTTGCTTGCTTGTTCCGTTGTACGTAAAGGCGAAATGGAAAGAGCACATACTTCGCGCGGAAGGAGAGAAAGCCGACGCCATCCAACAGGCGGAGTTCCTCCAAGAGCAGGTAAGACACTAATATGTAGACGCAACAATATATGGCCTTGACTTGGAAATCGCGGCCCGGTCTTGGGGGTAGTGTTTGTTGGTTTTTCGCTTTTATTCGTTTTATCGTTGTTTGTTTATGGTTGTGTGTGCACAGCAGTGCCGTGAAGAGAACAAAACAAAAATATTGTAGCTACATAGTGCAGTTTCTCATGGCACTCACAATACAATCGACGTGTCGTTATTGTACAGGGACAAGCTACCCTACATGTGTCTGCCACTGAAAGTCTAGACTAGTAATATTGGCGGTAAAATGTGGACCAACATCTGCCTGCGCTCAGGGCTATTGCCTGTTGGTTGACACGTGACATGCCCCTCCCCCCCCCGACCCTGTGATAGAAATAAGCACACGTTCATTTCAGGGTGTTATTAAAAACCGTTTACTCTCATGATAGCTTCGACTTCTAGCCAGACTCTTGCGCCGCTGCCCTACATGCGTCCACACATCCAACATCGACAACGACGCTCCCCATATTTTTTCTGTCTGGTTGTCTGTCTCTCTGTCTATCTGTCTCTCTCCCCCCCCCCCTCCCCCTCGTCTCTCACTCTCTCTCTCTCTCTCTCTCTCTCTCTCTCTTTCCCCCCCCCGTCACGCAGCTCATTACGTCTGCCAACGAGGTCTGGATAGCAAGGGAGCGAATATTTCAGCTAGAATCGGAGGCTCAATCCATACGCTCGAGTCCACCGCAAGTGGTCGAGAGAGCCGATCCAGCAGCGGTGGCCGAAGTCATGCGACTGCGCGACAAGGTAGCTGCTAGGGACGAACAGGCCAGACGAGCACAAAGAGCTGCTGCCGAAGCTCAAGAGGCGGTGGGCAGGGAATCGGCGATCAACCAGGTGATATTCTTTTATCACAATCGTGATTGCTTTGAATCTTATTCGTGTTCTGTCGGAGTTTTGCTCACAAGTGCTGCACCTTTGCTGCACGATTTTCTTAGAGTATTTGAGTGCATCACATTTTTGAAGCGAGCTGCACCCGATTGGTGCGCGTGGGCCTGCTCTTGCTATGGTATGCCTCACCTTGGGTTGCTCGTCTTGAAGATATACGTGACATGTCCCAATGCCTCTATGTGGGAACAGCATCAAAGAGCTACATAGTAGGGGTCAGCAGTCTCTCGGGCATGCCTTTTCCCCCTCCTGTACCGTGCCGAGGTCCACCACAGGCGCACATACGCTTGTTCGAAATATCTAGACCTAATAGCCTACCCCCATAACAAGCAGTCCATCATTTGCCCCGTCTGTGCTCCACGCCACCTCTGCACATCGATTCAGGGTTTCCAGCGAGACGTCGACAATGCGCGGCATCGCCTTCTCACCGTCCAGGGCTCCCTCGCGGAGCTTTCGGAAGAAAATGCGGGGCTGAGGCGAGAGCTCGAGAACGAGAGGATCAAGACTGTCGCCGGCTCACGGCGCTTGGCGGATGCCGTCGATCGCCAGGACAATGCTCTCGCCGAAGTCCGCCGTGATTCGGCGCAACTACGGGAGCAACGTGACAGGCGAGTAAAATTCCAGCATGTGTAGAGTCGCCACTCAGGTGTTGTACGGCAGGTGATGGCCACATGTGCTGACTGATGGTCTTTCACTTTACGGCCAACATGTGGTTCCATCAGAGATCGAGCCCCAACAAAATGCCTACCAGGTTAGCTTTAACTTACCTGCGCCGTCGGGGTGCGTGCCCTATGCGATGGTGCTGAGCTTGATCTTCCCAGGCCCCCATTTTGCGTGATGCACTTCTGCCGCTGCAACGCCGAATGTTTGCTACTTGCGGCTTCGTAGGCTTGCTCAGGATTCAGCAATACTCGGTATCAAGCTCCACCAGTTGAGAAAGAAGCAAGCAGCACGTCGCCTCCTTCACGCGTTGTACCTAGCAAGGCATCGCTCGCTGGCCACGGCCTTACGAGCCTTGGTAGTTCGGGTCACGAACGACATCCACCTGAAAAAGGTACGACTGTTGTTTCGGCAGCGTAGCATATTTGCTATCCCGTGCAACGTGTCGCTTTCCTCGCGTCTTGGTAGAGGTATAGCCTGTGCTCCGAACCGAAGTGCTGTTCTTGTCGTCGCTCTCCGCCACACTGGAACAAGCTTAAGCTTCGCATGAGGTCACCGTCTCTCCCCGCCCTTCTTCGCCCCTCCCGCGTTCCCGCGGCCGACCGGATCATCTAGCAAACCCGTCAACAAGAGGAGCACGCCTCCGAAGTCGCATCCCTAGAGGCAGACGTACAGGGGGCAGAGACCCGGTGCAGGAACGCCCGACGCGGCCTTGACGCTCTTCGAGACTCTCGGGAGACCGTATCCCGGTTGACTGTCAAGGCCTGTTGGCGACGTCATCAAGGTATGGTCATTGCGGGCGCTGCCGCGGAAGAGGAGAAACCAGGCGGTGACGCCTCCGCCCTTGTGGTGCGGTGGTGCTTTTGGGGCTGGGCAAGGGTCGCGCAGGGCGGGTGTACGGCCGTGGCAAAGAAGGCCCGGAGGGTGGAAGCGGAGAAAGAGCTAGCTGGAGCCAGGGAGCTGTTGTTGGCTGCTGACGAGAACGCCCGATGCGCCGAGGCTGAGCACAATCAACACCTGTAAGCTAGTATCCTTCTATGAAACAGATTTTGTTGTACTCAAAACTGGTAGCAAGACAACCAGATGTAATTTGCGAGTCTAGCGCATGCTTTCAACTCAAAACTTAGTCCCGGGCTCCTGGATGTCAATAATTAGACAGGCGTTGCTATCGACGTGTGGCGTTCTTGGGAGAGAAATGTAAACGTTTGCTAAACATTGCAAGGGTCTGCCTTGAAGGGTACGTTCTTGCCGATGAACGTCACCCGGCGTATCGCAAGACTGCTCCGTCTAGCGTATGTTCCTCTATCATTGAAGTCCTTCGACGCCATGGGTAATGACCAACTTTCCACGAGTTTGCTGAACCCTTCCCCTTGTTGTTTGCGCCAAACGTACATCAGGGCAACGGCGGAAGCCCTGGCGGAACAGATCAAGCAGCGCACAGCTGAACTGGAAGTCGCGCGCACTGCTCTAGGCGCCGCCAAAAGCACGGCGTCGTCGGCTAGGGGCCGCTGCATCCGCCTAGGCGCGGCACGCGTGCTCAAAGTCTTGGAACGGAATCGGCGCGACCGTCTTGCGCAGACCTTTTCTTGCTGGGTTGATGCTGGACGAGTGTTCCCCGTTGTCCCATCAACCGAAGAGGACATCGCCTCCCTTGGTCCACAAGAAGGCCGAAGAGTTGTTTCCGAGACATGCGCAGGACACAGGCAGGGGCTGGCACAACAACAAGGAGATGCCCTAGCACGGTCACGAGATGGTTTTGGACCGCCAACAGCCGACAGCACGACTGATCTTTGTGCTCTGTCAACCACTACTTCGGGCGGGAGGGGTGCGCAGGGAGGGATGCACACGGCAGGTATAGACGAAGACAAGGGGTTTGTCGTGGCGTCGACAGAGGACGAAGGAGGCGGGGCACATCTCGATGCGCTGCCCTCTGTCGCGGCGAGCAATGACCGGTCAAGAGACAACAGAAGAGACGCTCACACCGATGGCGTCAACGATACGATGGCAAGCAACGGAAACACACCGGCACCACTCGATGTTAGCTCGATTCCTTCGACCCCGGTGACTGCTTCACACAAACGACCAAGCAACCAAGACCAGCGCACACCAAGGTGTAGCTCCCTTTTCGTTGACGGTTATCCTTCTCCAGGTAGACGATCCACCACGTCGCTCAGCACTGCTTCGAGCAAACCAGCTGCCAGCAAGTCTAGCATCAGCGGTGCTTCCAATCCCGTCTCGGGCCCTGGTGGCAGCGGCTGGCCCGCGAACCCAGACCTCCCTCGACTGGTGCTATCCTTACGGGCAGCGGTCGGGGAGGAGCTCTATGCCGTCGGCGAGCGTCTCCTGCGGTGCGTCGAGGCCGACTACCGCGAGACCCACGGCAGGTCGTACCATCCGGTCCCGATTACGCCGGCCGAACGCGAGCAGTTCCGTGTTTGCCTGGAGGACGCCGCTCGGGGGCGGCTGAGGCGTGCGGTCTTGACCTTCTTGCGAGTGCAGGAATCGCACCGTGCTGCTGCCGTCGAGAAGGACCGTGGCAATGTAGAGAAGACCCGACAAGGGCGACGAGTCAGGGTGAACGGTTGGACATGTGGTGGTGGGGGCGGCGGTGCTGGTGGTGGCGGATGCCTGCGTGGCGCGAGGCGCAAGAGCGCGCGAAACGCCGAGGAGGGACAAGATGGAATTTCTTCCTTGACCACTGGTCCCTTGTCAACTACTGCGGAAAAAGCGAGAGCTGCCAGGTAAAACACTTTGGACCACCGCCGAAACTATTTCAATTGTAGCATCCTTTGCAAACTTGTAGAATGCTGCAAGAGTTAACACAGATTAGAGAGTCACTACCTTTTTTAGAGCTGTGGGCTCACGAGCTGCTTCTAGCGAACCCTAACCCTAAATACCTGGCCCAACCCGCCCCCCTTCGCAACCGGAAAGCAGACACGAATAATAATCCAGTCCATGTCTTCGTTCGAGGCTAAAAATAGGCCATGATTGTGCGTCCGCTCCACGGTTTTACACCAACGCATCCGATTACATACCGCTCGGGACTTGGCCCCCTTCGTCCACCATCAACCAAACACTCGTGTGATCGAAAAAACAAATCATTTTTTCCCTCCAAACCCAGAGTACTGCGAGATCGGCTCGTTCCACTTCTAGAAAACGCTGCCGACGCGTGGGGCCGCCATCGCCAGCCATGGCAAAATACGCCTCGCGCCGTTGGGAGGAGAGCAGCAACAGAGAGCGATAAAAGTCGCTTTCAGCGGAGAACAACGGTCTCAACGAGGCAGAAAAACAACCCTCATCGCCTCCGGAGAGGCAACGGCGATGAGACGGGACTGTCGTCTCCTGGTCGTGGGAGGTTGTGCTGCCTAGACTCGGGGGCAGGGCCTCGGAAATTCTGGGAGGCTGTGGCGGGCCCTAGGCTTGTCGAGGCCAGTTGGAACGTGGACATTAAGGTGGGCTGTACCGGTCGGCAAGTGCCGTGTAAGAGCATGAGACGAGGTATTTCGTGTTTTTCTCTGATTTGTACCGCAAGTACGGCAAAGAGGGAGCAATTCGTTGTTCGGAAAGTTAGTTGCCTTGTGTCCTTTGATGCGGTCCAAGACAGGCGCTACCTTGATGAAGGCCAACGGATAGGCGCGAACCCCAGCGACAGACCAAGGGGTTGTTCATGTTTAGCGCTGAAGAAACCGGCAGAGAACAAATCAAGGTCAACGAGAACAAATCAAGGTCACCCCCCCCCCCCCGACCGAAGTATCTACTCACCTGACCGACATTTCTCTTTCACAATGGCGTCTTCCCCCCCCCTCTGGTGATAAAGGCGCTTGAACAACAACTGTGGGATCTCGCGATGCTCGTGAGGGGGCCAGACCTACGAAGGCCATCGCGGGCGTCACCAACGGTTGGCGCTAAACCGATGCGAGCTTCTTCGAAGGACCCTCGATGTACGCGTCTTCGAGGTGCTGCTGTTGTACACGCGGACTCGACTGATCTGGGACGGCATCGACAACGATGATGACAATGGCCACGACGGTGGCGACTTCTACAGTACCCGGCTTGACGTCGATGCTGGTGTAAAGTAGTGATAAACAGCACTCGGCAATATATATCGTTGGTTGCTGTTTGTTGGCGACTGAAGACTGAGGAGACGATCTCGAAAAACGTTGTTGTTGGGTGCATTAGGCAAGCAAGATTGCTCTCAAGTGCGACACCAGAGCAACAAAATACTTCGTACTACTGTTTGAATGGGTCGCGTCTGTTGCAGGTTGTAGCTGCTGTCAAATAGCGTCGTAATGTTTGATTTTATGAGACGATCTTGTAGTCCAAAATAGAGCAAAAGCCAATTATGACGGCGACATTCTGCTCGCCTCTGCTGCCGGCAATGCAACGAAAGTCTGGAGAGGAGACTCGACTGAGATTGAAAAAAAATCTGCGTTATGTATCTATCTATACGAGTGTGTAACCGCGATACATATTGCCCACACCGTTCAATATCGAAACAACGCGGCGGCGCATGCACCACCATCATCGAGCCAACAACCCCTCGCAAAAATGCCGAGGGGGAAGGGGGAGAGAGTGCCGTCTCTCCACTCTCCACAATCAACAAAACCTAACCTATGCAAAATGGTCGCCTATGTGTACTCAGTAGGTGTCTGTGCGGTTCGCTTATGGTGTGTGCTTGGATCATGGTGCCTCGTGGTGCTTACATGTGTAGAAAACCAATAAAACACGGTAAGGATCGCGTCTCGTCTCACGTCTCACGAATCGGTGTCAAAAATTGAACGACATTTGGTCAACGGTCGTTTCTATTTTTTTTCCTGTTTTTTTGTGTCGAGCAAGAGAGTGTGGAGCGGGGTAGGCTCTTGTGTATCGATCTGTTTCTTGATCGATCTTGTTTGTCCGGCATGCTACCTACTGGCTGATGTTAGGGATTCTCTGGTTTATCAGACCGTGGTTGTGATTGGTGCGCCCAACCTTGCCTGCTTGCTACGTGGAATATGACATGTGGTCACGGCGGCGTCACGGCATCGCTCAAAAAACCGAAAACCCTGCGGTATGCATTTAGTTGTATGGACAGCAGTGTAGCTACATTGACGGGTAATGAAGGTATGGATAGGCGTCACGCGTCACGGCGAGAAGCTTTAGCCGGGATCGAGAAGAGAAAACAAATGTAGTGATGATGGGCATCGTCCTTTCTCACACACGAGCGAAACCCACACCCACAGCCCGACGCAAGACGGAAGAGGGAGAGGATGCATGATGGATATGTGTCAGAGCTGTCAAATACTGGTGCTGTTGTTCCAGCAGCAAAGAGCCGATCACGGAAACCGGGAGGTTACGCCGCGTTTCGCCCTTTCCTGGCACACAGCGACGACGTGTGACCTGTGGCGTCGACCGGAGAGAATAGACGTGGAAATAGGACGGTCCACCTCTCCAAGGCAGCTGGGAGGGGTTCTGCTGAAGGTGGGCTTGGCTCTTCTCGTCGTCTCACGCCGTGCGTGGTCGAGGGGATTGGGGTTTGCGCATGGGTACTGGACTGATCGATCACTCGCATGATATCGAACCAGCTCGAATTACTTACTACAAGGGCCCGATTTGTTGACTTTTTTTACAAAGTTTTGGATGCATCGCCTTCTCCTCGACCGCCATGGTGTCTTTCCTTTGGCGTGGTAGGTAAGTGTGCGCTAGACGCTTCGGGCGGGAGCGAATGTTGGAAGGCGTTGCTCATGTTACTTTCTCTTCCTCGCCACGTGAACCCTTAGATATTTACAGACACATTTTTTTCATCCCCATAGTCTCTACACAACGAGCAAGCACATCGTCGCCTACTCGGCTTGGTTGTTTCGCAAGACGAACGCCCGGAAAAGCGTGCTTGACTGAGGTCGGCGGACCTCCTCCGTTGACTCACTGGTTGCCAACTGGCAACAGCAGCAGCGGCCAGCGCAGCTCAACTGGACGCTCCAACCAATCAGCAACCCAAGCCTTGGGCGGAAGCATCAAACCGTCAGCGAACCAGCTGCGGCTTCCACTTATGTATATATGCAATGCCTTGCTGTTTTGGAACAAGTTGTATTGTACTACCGGCCGCCTCTCACATGCTGTGTTGCGATTGATTCCCCGTGTTGTTACACGGGTGGACGACGGCGCGTACGTCACCTCCCCCATGCTCGGTTGTTGGTTGTTGACCGTGTGATTTATTTCTGGCTGGGGGTAAAGTACATGTAAATACTCCCTTCTTTTACATATCTCCGGTGGAGACAGGGAGACGGATCTCTGCGCGTTGGGCGCGGTAGATTTTGACACAGAAGGAGAGGCGGGTGCTCGAGGTCATTCGCCGGTAACAGACGTCGCAAAATGTCAACAAGATGCTCGTGAAAGCACTGCTGTGGAACACAGCAGTGCAACTCTTCTAGCAGACATAGGCAGGTGTATTCAGTTCAGGTCGTGCTGCTGCTGGTAGAGGCTCTACAATAGTATATACGTTCGGACATGTCACACACACCTACACCCCTTTATGCCCAACCTTTGTTTCCCAAGCGGCTCGCCCACAAGCGCGCTTGTGACGCGTGAGTTTGCGTCCCACACTCCACCATCATACAGCAGTACCCCTTATCCAACCAACGCAGTTTTTTTGTCAGCAACTGCACATACGGCAGTGCTCTGTGACTAATGTGCGTGTTCGTTTCTTTGTCTCGGAGAGCACGGCAGCTTGAGTGACATATATTCCAAGAAATGGCACATGTGTGTGCGCGATATATATTCCGCGGCTCTCTCCTGTGCCCGCAGTAAACAACTCCATCCTAGCCAACCAGCAACCACCCGTGCGTCGGAAGGTTGCTCGATCACCTCCGCACGGCGCTGTTGCCCTGCGGCGGGGTGTGTGTGCGTGGAATTACACCGCGTAGGCCTCGTCTCCGAAACGCTCGACAGGTGTTCGCACACTGCTTCCCGAACCTGAAACAGAAACGGTGGGTGCAACCGACCTGCTGTACAGTAGTCCTCCTTGTTTGTTCATTGTTACAATAGCATGTTGGCATCGACCCTGTTGATGACAGCCGTCGACGTAACAGAGGGCTGTTTGTGTTCGTGTCTGTACCCTTCTAGTCTTTTGCGTACACGAATATGGGCGCGGTCGTTGGCAGCCGGGTAGTCCTCTGTCCCGCTAACGTAATCGAGCAGTTTGGGCACCCCCGCGCGATCGTTTCAGGCAACGCGTGCTTTTGTATTTGTCGCACCCAGGTGCGCTCCTATTTCTCCGATCCATGTTCCCAACTCCTCGGCCCCCGTGCGGACAGTATGCGCAACCAAACACATGCTTTTGGTAAGCACTATTGCTGTCGCCTTGTGCCCAACTCTCCGCGATCCATGCGACGGTGAACATGTTAACAGCGGCGGCGGTACAGCAGTATGTAGTGCTGCAGCCAGCCTTCGCGCGCATTTCGTACGACAAGCAAGAAAGAACATACACATAGCATACAGCGGTACCACAGCAGGCTAGTCGACGAGCTATGCATATGAAGTACATGAAGTACGTACACAAAGCTGGAAACTGCGGCGAAGTATGTATTGCTGTACCATCCGTTGGTGACATACGATTCCACATCCCCTGGACCGATTTTCAAACCTCGATTTAATCACGACGAAGAGAACGCATACATGAAACTATTAACTAACTCTTTGGAAACCTCTTTGACACAACGGTCCCAACGCCGCCATTTTCGGGACCGCCCGTGTCACTCTGCTGTGTGGAAATCGAGCTTTGAACATCGGTCCACAGGGGGGCGTCATATGCCACGTCACCAACCGCATATATCGTTCAAAGTACAAGTACACCGCGGCGAAATGTTAGATTCCGACAAACGCGGCTATATTAGCAAGAAAGAGGGGAAACGCCGAGGCGTGTGTAAAAACGCAACATCGCCCCCACGGCTGCTGTACTGCTGTACCTGTACTTTTTCTGTGTGCTGTGATGAAGTGGACACTTCTGTTTGTCGATTTCAATCAAACAGCTCTCACTGAACTTGAACGCCGACATAACATGGTAAGCAGCAACAGACAGCAGCAGTCGTAGCACATAGAAAAAAAAAAAAAAGGTGGCGGACCTATCTCCGATGTGCACATACCATTCACCACAACGGAAATAGCACACCGCTGTCACTGCCACAAAACGTTTGGGGAAGTAGACAAAAGTAAAAAAGTGGGTTGCCCACCCGTTTTCTTGGACGAGATTGGGCCTACTCAAAAGCTTGCTTCGCCGAGACCACACGTGAGAGGACCGAGCCACTCAAGACCTCACTCTGATGCCCGGAGAGCAATGGCGAGGGCGCCCATGCACAGCCCAACTTTTACGATTTTTTTTTTGCGCTTTTTTGTCTCCAGGCTCATCACCACGGCGGAAGGCCCACAAGGACACACAACAGGGTTGTGTGCCCTATTTTGCCCGAAAAAATTCCAGTGGGCATAACCCGCCGCCGTCTCCTCCTTTTCCAACCTCCCACTTTCGTCCGAGACATAACTTCCGAAACGTATCGTACCCACTTTTGTCCACTTTCTGGACCTCGAAAATTTCTGCCGTGCGGTGACGTGTGTATTTTGTGGGGCTTGATTCTCGAGGCCCGGAACTGGACAAACAAGGGTACATTCGGATAAACATGGGTGGAATGTGATAAAAATAGACAATAGGTAAATGTCCGTGGGTATTTCCACCGGGATATTGTCAAAATGTGGTAACCGTTTGAAGAAGCCTTGCGCGACGCGCCGATGTTTGGGCTGAAGACATGGCCGAAAAAGAAAGTTCGTAGCAGCAGTTGATGTTGATGCTGTGCATGGGCCTTCGCTGTGTTTTGTCCAGGTGTCGGAATGAGATTTTGGGTGATTCGGCCGTCTCACGAGTTGTCTCCTCGAAGCATTAAGCATTTCGAGTACCAATTTTTGTCCGATAAACTGGGGGGGGTGCAGTACACCCATTTTTTTTTCTTTTTCCCACGAACTTGTCGTCGTTGCTCGTCGTACGGAGATAAGGAAGAAGCCCACGTTGCCATTACACGCCAAGTGCACTCTACAGCTCTTTCTTACGAGCGACCCACCCCATCCCATCCCACTGTCCGCTCTGACGTTAACAGCTCTTATCAGCGACCCATCCCATCCCGTCTCACCGCCCGCTCTGACGGTAACAACACAACGTCGGCTTTGTTCGATCCCTTACATGCATTACCACTCACGACGACGGTTGATCTGGTTCTCTCGAAAACGATTCCCCCCCCGCCCCCCGCCCCCTGTCCTCAGGTTGCCTTCCAGAAGAAACGGGGGGGGAACAAGGCCGACAGACGCGTAGAAAAGAGAGGACACTACAGGCACATTCCCCTTGTAAATACGCACGGAAGGCGGCAGGACTGGGGCGGGCGGATCGTGTGTCAAAGCAAAGGGCCGGTCCTGCGACAAGGGGAGCCGGACGGGGGGGGGGGGGGGGGGGGGGG